TTCTTGGCCATCCTCTGCAAAACAACAACGTGAAATCATCAAAATTTGCGTTGTCTGCGAACGGAAACCGCGACGGCAAATTCATTGCATTTCCATTCGGAACTCAACACTGCTTATATACGTTATGCTGAAGTTGAGGTGTGGCGCCGTAAGAAACGGTAAACACATGTAGCCATTTTCGAAATTCAAACTAAAAATACAAATTTATTTTTTAACCGGCTTCTTCTTTGGTGTTAGCGTCCTGACTGCTAAAGGTCCCTAATGAAAAAAAAAATATGCCCCGGAACACAGAGACAAGCTGGTGGATGGGTGGTTCTGGATCCCTCAAAGCGAAAATTGTTATCTTCTGTGAAATGTTCTGCAAGCAACCGTGGACGATAATCCTACTCTTGTACGTTGGATCAGCAGTGATCTAATCGGCCCAAAATAACGAATATAAATATAGAGGGAAGACCGATACAACGTAGATAAGTTTTAAAACGGAGCACTATATTTCGGCTGGCCAAACCAGCTTTCTTCAGGTGCAGTGGGAATTGACATAGAATTAAGGTGATACTTAAGGTGATACTGTATGATGTAATAGCGGAAATACGTAAAACTAATTTGATTGACAATGAGATTTAATAAAAGATAGAAATAGTAAGTAAAAATAGAAGTAAAGTTGGGTAAATTGAATAAATTAAGTAACTAGAAGTAAGAATAGTAAAAGGAAAAGCACTAATACATTTCTTCGCGAGCGTTAAGGCCATTGGGATAAATAGTATTGCCTCTTGAAATTAAAAAAGCTTCCCTGGCCTTGCCGATCGAGTCTCTCTTGGAAAAAGTAACTGCGCTACTTGTCCCTACTCTCTGACGGACTAACTAACTATACCTTTTTTTCTACCGGCGAAACACGTACTATTAAATCTCACTTGACTTGTGACACTAAAAAAAAACCTATCTACTTGATTCAATGTAACCGCTGTAACTTACAATACATAGGAGAAACTAAACGACGTTTAAAAGACCGTTTCAATGAACACCGCCGTACCATTGACAAACCTAACTCTAAATCTAAACCTACTACAGTCACAGAACACTTCCTTTTCTTCTCCCAACCACTCTGCTTACAACATGGAGCTTATCGCCATCGAAAAAGTGTTTTCCAAGAGACTCGATCCACAAGGCCAGGGAAGCTTTTTAATTTCAAGAGGCAATAATGGCCTTAACGCTCGCGAAGAAATGTATAAGTGTTTTTCCTTCTACTATTCTTACTTCTAGTTATTTAATTTATTCGATTTACCCCACTTTACTTCTATTTTTATTTACTATTTCTATTGTAATTATTATCTCATTGTCAATTAAATTAGTTTTACGTATTTCCGCTATTACATCATCCAACTATCTAACTACCACCTTACTTCTATGTCTATTCCCACTGTACCTGAAGAAGGCTGGTTCGGCTCCTTTTTTTAAAACTTATCTACGTTGTATCGGTCTTGCCTCTATATTTATCTTCTATGGCCACTATATATCATTCTTTGGTCAGTCACAGGGCTAACTTGCTTCCCAAATGACTCTTTCCATTGATAAAAAGTGAATGCGTTCATTTGAGAAGGCGGATGAGGTGGGCCATCCCGCTTTCGAAGTTCCCGGTTTTTTCGACCAAGAGGTCGGTAAGAGAGTTGGAAATCGGTAAAAGCGGCCTGAAAGAAATATAATTATATCAGTAAGTGAGCTGAAATTTTACCTTGTTTGTAGCAATTGGGTGAAAATCTCAACGCAATGATGACATTTCTTTAATGTAAACAAACAGAATTCGTTCTACCAACCGGGCCAGCCTGGTTGGAGACTTAATGTGAAGAGGACGTTAATCAAACTAGTCCCATTGGTTCCATCCCCTTGAGCGACATGTAGCCTGTGCACAAGAGGCCTTACTGGGGCAGAGTGTGGCTCTCGTCGTATGTCGCTCGGCAGTACATGGTATTATTACACGACTCCGGCAGTCAGAGGGCCAATAACTAAAATCAACCAATCAAAATGCTCTATTGCCGGTCAATATTCTCTCTGTATTGGACCGGGCACTGTCCCGAATGGTCCCGAATGATACCGCACTTGTGTCCCTTTGAACTTCAGTCGTATAATAAATCTCTTATTAACCAAGCTTGCTCGGGACCGTACTGGAAGAATATCGGCCCTCGGTCTTTTTTGTACGGACCGAGCGTAGCGAGGTCCGTACTGTCAAGACCTCGGGCCGATATTCTCCCAGTACGGCCCTCGCGCTTGGTTAACAAGATATATATATTGACTTACAGGGAAGGAAGAAAGGCCTCATTTGAATTTATAGTTTTCGGCGAAAACGCTTGAAATTTTTCTTCCAATTCCCCCCCCCCCTCCCCACGGGCAGTTAGATGAAAGGAGGAAGTAAGGTGTTGCCGTTGTTAATTAGGTCCACGATCCCACAAAGTAATCTTTCACACTTGCGTAGCATCTTGTTTGTCTTTCATGCGATCATCTTTCCCTGCATTGACCCTGATATCCGAGCCATGCCACTAATATTTTGCCAAAGCGTCGTCTTAAAGACGATTGTTTGCTGTTTTGCTCTTCCTGATCTTTTCCATCTTGTCTTGAAGAGTCCACTATTGCCTTTCACGGAAGCTGAATCCTGCTGCTACGTTTGACTTCCGTGTGTGAAGTGACACGCGGTCTATTGTAGCTGTAAGCCTTATCAGTTCTTAGAGATGCGCCTCACACAATTGTACATTATCATGATATTTCGCCGAAGCTGAAACAATAAGAGACGAATTTCAAGTTGCATGACAAAGAACATGTCAACTGAATTAAAACCTCCCTTCCCCCCCTTAGGCCTCCCAACTAAGAAACATTTTTGCTCTGTTGACAAAAATTAGTGAGCTCATCTACTCATTAGCAAGCTTCAACTTCGCATAACGGCGCAAATTTACTGATAGCCTCATTTTTTTATCAGAGAAAACTCTGAAAATACACGTTTATGTCTTGTTCCCAGGTGTTGGGAGCCCGGGGGAGGGGTCTTCATGAAGAAATGAGGACATGAAATTTGGTCTTGATGTTTTCTGGGCGCAAATCAATTCATTATCTCTTGTATTATTTACTGAGCTGGAACTTTGTGTCCATGGCTTTAACATACGTATACTACTTTGCTAAATTAGAATTTATATTTATTGTACAAATATTCACGCCGTTTTATGAATAGTGTTCTTGAAAAGAAGCTTCTAAATTATTGTAATTACTATTGCATCTGTGTCATGCTTTAGATTTTATGGTCTTGTTTTTGTAATAAACACAACTTTACCCTAAAATATTATTGCTTTCCATGATGGCAAAGATGTTTAGACAAGTTTGTTTTATCTGAATTCTTTCTCTCCAGTTGCTTTTATTATACCACCGATCAATGCTATGCTTAAACGAGGGTACGAAAGGTCAAATGAAGGAGTCTGTTTGTTGTCACGCACTCAAATTAACTTTGAAAGCAAAACAAGACGTGATAGTTGAATTATAATCTTCGATTTTCACAGGATATTGTAT